AAAAAAAACAAAATTAATTTAAAAATTAAAAAACGATACATTTTGGCAATGGCTTCAACAATAGTCTAGCATAACCATATACTAAATTGCAGCTAGTAAATATAGTAAAATAATAGAAGAATCTTTGTATAAAGAAAGAGGTGGAAAATAAGAGTCACAAAGCTTTGAATTTTAGCTGAGAAATATTCCACCTTTATCTTTTAATACCAGCTTTAAAAGTATCACTTTTAAAGACTGTAACTGCATTATGATCTCTAATGCTCTACAAGAGAAAGCATGCTAATTTGTATTAATTTATTTCCCCATTCAAATAGTGTGACAAAAGCATTGAATGTGACTTCTGTTGCCCTGCAACCACACTTAAAGATGTCCAAATGGTGCACTGGTATTAAGTGGTGATTATTATAATAATAAAATAGTGTAAGCAATACTCTCTTTTTCTGTATTAAAGTTTTTTTCTTTTATACAGGTGTGTTGGTTTCTTGTTTGCCATCCCCACTTACTAGATCCCTCCTCTGTTCTGCTCTGTGCCTCAGGAAGCTGAGCCCTGTGGACTGCAGCACCACTTAGGCTTTCTTGCTCTCTGACACTTGCTACATTTGGCCAATGGGAGGAACCAGGACATCAGAGTATGGTGACTGAGAGAAGTTTGAATATTTGTTCCTGCTTCCTCCTCTCTAGCCTGTGGGTTTGGCAGTGGTTGTTTTGCTGTACCCATGCAGAGCTCTCGTTGGGTGACTCCTCGCAGTGCTCATCCATCTCCAGTAACACTGTGTGTCCCCTCTTTGAGTCTAGCCTTGGTAATAGCTTCCCACTGTTGGTTCCCCGTGCCTTACCATGTCTTAAGAGTTAGTTCCTTTGCCTTTCCTGCCCACACATCAAATATAACACCTTCATTCAACCCTATTGAATTAAGCCCTGTGAGCACATCATCTATGTCCACTGGGATCCTGAAGGATATCAAAAGCCAGATGATTTGGGGAAATAAAATTGGAATATGAGCAATGATAAGAAAAGGAGAATTTTAATTACCTACCAGCAAGGCAGCACAAATTGGGCCATGAATAATGTAGAGGAGATGGGTATCAGAACTGATCCAGCAACTAGGAGAAAAAACAGGATCATGATGTTGAAGATTTTCATTTTATTTAGATCCAATAGAAATTATAAAGAGAAATTATCTTACTTGTCATTGTAATATAAGCTTCTGGCAATGGCATGTATACAAGCAGGAATCAGTGGAAATCCTGTAAATATCAAAGAAAAAGAAAAGAAATAGGCAACTTTCACTATATATAGAACTCCTAAAATATGTAATGAAATACGAAACTCAGAGATACTCTAGGAACAAACAACAAAGTAATTGGCCACTATCATTTATTTAATGTGAGTTATACAAAAATTTTATTATTATTTAATTGACACATAATAATTGTACATACTTATGTGATACAATGTGATATTTTGATACATAAATACAATGTGTAATGATCAAATCAGGGTAATTAGCATATTCATCACCTCAAACATTTATTATTTCTTTGTCTTGGGAACCTTCAAAATCCTTTCTTCTAGCTAATTAAAATATACAATAAATTAACTATAGTCACCCTATAGTGGTATATAACAGTAGGACTTATTTCTCACATCTAACTGTAATGTCACATCCATTAACCATCCTTTCCCTATTCCTCTCTCCCTGCTATCCTTTCCAGCCTCTAGTAACCACTATTCTACTCTCTACTTCTATGAGATCAACTTTATTAGCTTCCACATAAGAGTGGAAACACACACTATTTGTCTTTCTGTGCCTTGCTTATTTCACTTAACATAATGTACTCCTAGCTTATTCATGCTGCCATAATGACAAGATTTTATTCTTTTTTATGGCTGAATAGTATTCCATGGGGTGTGTGTGTGTGCATGTGTATGTATCACAGTATCTTTATTCATTCATTTGTTGATGGACACTTAAGTTGATTTCATATCTTGGCTATTGCAATAGTGCTGCAATAAACATGGGAGTGCAGATATTTCTTTGACATACTAATTTCCTTTCCTTTGATTATATACCTAGTAAAGGAGTTGCTGGATTATATGGTAGTTCTATTTTTAGGGTTTTTTTTTTT